TCCACCCACTTCTCGAGGGAAGAGGACGCTGAACAGGAATGTGCAACGTGTTGCCAAACGTCTGAGAGACGGGTCCCGTGCATCACCTTCACGCCGAAGGACATGCTCATCAAGAGCACATCTCATGACCAACCATTATACTTCACGGGGTACGTCGGTTCGTCGAAGGTGGATCGAATTCAGGTCGACCCAGGGTCTGCGTTGAGTATCGTGCCTTTGAAATTGATCAAACACTTGGGGAAACCGCCAAAGCGCCTATCCTCGACCACGATGACCATCTTTGGCTTTAACGCCACGGGGACTCGGCCGCTCGGCAAAATCCGCCTGAAATGTCGAATAGGCGACATGAAGACGGAGGTGACATGCTACGTCATCGACGCCGAACCTTCCTACAACATACTCATGGGACGTCCGTGAATCCATGGCAACCGAATAGTTCCGTCCACGTTACACCAGTGCCTGAAGTATGTGGACAATTACAAGCGAGTGAAGACGGTAGTGGCCGACAAGCAACCCTTTAAGGGCGTTGAAAACTACTTCACGGATTTTCTGCTGTACCAAGACCCCGACGAGCCACCGGCAGAGGAGCTGGAGAGTGGTAACGAGGCAGACAGCGAGCCTGAGTACGGCGACAGCTTAATCCTAAACGACTTCGAGTCAATTGTAATCGGTTACGAGAGTCACAATGTAACCAACTCTGTCCAGGTGGAGGAAATTATCATGAATGAGAAGTCTAACTTTGCTTATTTGTCGTCTTGCTCCACATCCGAGGATGATGCGCCCAATAACCTATGGTCAGAACTCTACAGTAATCCTTCCCTGTACCTACCAGTATGCTCATCATACGTCGCCAGGGCACAACCGATCAAGTCATCGCAAGCTGTGCTCGTCATGCCAGCCCGGAATAATTATCGAAAAGATATTATCTTCCGTCGAATCGATCATCCCCTACGCAAGCTATGGGATGAATCTGAGGATGAGGACCCAGCGCCCCAGTTTTCGCAATACAGTCAAGTTGCGAAGCGCATGATGAGCGACATGGGGTATGACCTCACTCGTTTGGAGGGCCTGAATTACGGCCGAGGACGCAAAACGGTCATCCGACCTGCTTACGTACCTAAAGGGAAACCCTCAAATTACTTCAACAGGACTCGGAGAGGCTTAGGCTACTCCTCCCCCTCGTCGGATTTGTGTTTTTACGCCAACGAGAATTCCGACTATGCGTGTTCGGGGGATCAATCGTCAACAACCTCGGCATGGGACTCGGATGTCAGCGTGAGGGATCTATTCGATAGCCTTACGGTCAACATGGCTACGATGGACCCCGCCGAAATGGCGGAGGATGGACAAGTTCCACTTTATGACGAGATGTGGGATCGCCATGTTAACGCCCAGTAGAACAGTCGCTTTGAGCAACGTGAACCACCGATCGAAGACGAAATCCTCCAGGTGAACATGGGTAGTGAGGCAAATCCCAAACCCATATTCATCAGCGGCAGTTTGCCTCCCCAAGAAAAAGAGGACCTCATTGCCCTCATACGGGAATATATTGATGTCTTCGCATGGAATTACGAGGACATGCCCGGTCTGGATCCGCAGGTCGCCACGTATCGCCTCAACATCAGTCCAGACGCCAAACCAGTCAAGCAACAGCAGAGGCGGTTTTGCCCTCAGATCATGGAGGCAATTGAGGCCGAAGTGAAGAAACTGATTGAGTCCGGTTTCATCAGGGAAGAACAACACCCCGACTGGGTGGCCAATATTGTTCCGGTCCTGAAGAAAAACGGTAAGATTCGCATCTGTATCGACTTTAGGGACCTTAACGCTACGTTCCCCAAAGACGAATTTCCCCTGCCCATCACGGATGTCATCATTGACAACACGTGCAGATTCGAAAGGATGTCCTTCATGGATGGTTTCTCGGGATACAATCAAATCAAAATGCACCCCGAGGACGAAAAGCACACTTCATTCAGAACCCCTATGAGGGTGTACTGCTACACCGTTATGCCCTTCGGACTCAAAAACGCTAGCGAAACCTACCAACGTGCCATGAGTATGATCTTCCGAGATCATCTGTGGAAGACAGTCGAATGCTACGTGGACGACCTGGTCGTGAAGAGTCGCCATAAGGAGGACCACCTCCAAGACTTGAGGGCAATGTTCGAACTCATGAGGACTCATCAACTCAAGATGAATCCTACTAAGTCATTCTTAGGGATGTCTAGCGGCAAATTCCTCGGTTTCGTCATCACGACGAAAGAAATCCGGATTGATCCAGACAAGGTGCGAGCTATTCAAGAGCTTCGACCGCCCCGAAACCTTAAAGAGCTAAGAGGGCTTCAGGGACGATTGGCTTACATCCGAAGGTTCATCTCAAATCTTTCGGGCAAGTGTCAACCCTTCTCCAAGCTGATGAAGAAAGGTACTTCCTTCGTGTGGGACGAGTCTTGCCAAAAGGCCTTTGAGGAGATCAAGGCTTATCTCTCGAACCCGCCTGTCCTTGCGGCGCCAATCTCAGGGAATCCATTCCTCATATATATACGGGCCATGAAACATTCTCTAGGCGCCCTCTTGGCACAAAACGACGATGCGGGCCACGAGAAAGGCATCTACTACCTGAGCAGAACCTTGCAAGGCGCCAAACAGCGATACCCAATGATCGAGAAGGAATGTCTGGCCTTAGTATTCGCCATCCAAAAGATGTGGCACTACCTGGTTGGCCAGACAATTCACGTTATTTCTCGGATGAACCCCATCTGAGTGTTCGTGACACAACCGGCAGCGTTGAATTGGCGTTTGGCCAGATGGGCACTCCTACTATCTCAGTATGACATCCATTTCATGCCACAAAAGTCGGTCAAGGAGCAGGCCATCTGCGATCTTATGGCTAGTCACCCGTTGGGGGCGAAGACCGACCTATTTGAAGATCTGCCAGATGAACCCCCCGAAGCCAATGTGACTTCATCACCAGAGGTGTGGCAGATGTTCTTCGACGGTGCGTCTCGTGTAGGCACGAGTGGTTCTATTGTTGCAGGAGTGGGGGTGGTCCTCACCTCTCCGCATGGCCATGTGTTACCCCAAGCCTTTTCTTTGATAGAACCGTGCACCAACAACATGGCTGAGTACAACGCATTACTCATAGGGCTCAAGTTGGTCAAAGAGTTAGGGATAAAGCATCTGGAGGCTTACGACGACTCCTAACTCATCGTTAAGCAAATGACTGGTGAATATGAAGTCAAGAACGAGGATCTCATCCCGCTCCACAAAGCGGCTATCAAACTAGTGGAGTCACTCGAGAGTTTCCGCATTAAGCACGTGCTCCGCTCCAAGAACACGCATGCGGACGCTCTTGCATCCTTGGTAGCTAACTTGGCCCAACCGTTAGGAACAACCCAACGGGTCACGATCGCCAGCCAAAAACTCTTTCGACTAAAAGACGTCCCAGAAGCGAACGCCACCCATTAAACCCCGGATCAGCCCGATCAGGAAGACTAGCATCTCCCGATCATCGATTACGTTCTATACGGTATGTTGCCCGAAGACGCAAGGGAACGAGAGTCTATCCGATGACATGCCTCGAGGTTCTACTATGATTCGACCACCAAGACGCTATATCGGAGGTCATACGACGGCTTGCTGCTCCGGTGTCTTTCAAAGGCAGAGGCGAAGGAGGCCCTACGCGAAGCCCAAGATGGCACGTGCGGGGCTCATCAGCCTGGACCCAAGCTTTGGGATCGCCTACGGAGGATAGGCTACTTTTGGCCTGGGATGGTTAGCGACGCGGTCGCTTACGCAAAGCGCTGCCACGAATGCCAAATCCACGCCAACTACATGCATCAACCTCCTGAAG